AGAGAGAGAGAGAGAGAGAGATAGGTAGAGAGAGAGAGAGAGAGAGAACCCATCTGTCCCAGAAGGAGCCGCTGTCCTCTTTCGCCAAGGCTTTGAGATTTGCCCTCAACCCCCCCCCCCCACAAACCCCCCCCACCCCCTCCCTCCCTTCTGCAATTAAACAAAATAAAAATCTTCCTGCGGAGCAGAAATGGAGGGGAAAAGAGGGGGAGCATCAGACCCCCCTCCCCCAAAGGAAATGGAGAGGAAAGAACAGGCCCCTGTTCTGAGCTCCGCCACCTGCTCCTCCTGGCCCCCCCTCCCTTCAGCCCTCCCCACAGACCGGGCTGGGATCGGCAACCTTTGCCAAATATCATTCGGATGCTGTCACCGTTTCCTTTTTCCTCTGCTGCAGGAGTCCCCACCCCTCCCGCAAAACCAGCCCCCAGTGTGCAAAACCCGGGGCAAACACAAGCCAGGTTTGTGGGTTTAAAATCCAAGCCCTGCTTAAAAAAGGAGGCCAGCCCCCTCTGGGCACACGGGGGGGGGGCAAGTTTGGGAGAAGGAGTGGGGGGAAAAAAAGAAGAGGGACCAGGCACACTTCCTCGGCCCAGTAGATGCTGAGAACCCAGTTGCTTCTCTGGCCCACTCGATCCCGTTCAGGATCCAGGAAGGAAAGTGGGAGGGGGGTGAAAACGAGAGGGTTTTAGGCGGGGGGGGGAGGAGAGGAGGGAATCCCTGGAGGCTCCTGCGTTGTTGGAACAGGCGGGATTTGATTCCTGCCCCGGAAGCCCCCCAAGTCAAGTGTGGGGGGGGGGAGAGAGACCCTTGCAATGTGGCTCCCCTGGAACAACCCAGTGGCGTTGATGGGCGGGGAGGGGGGGTTTCTTCTGCCCCCCCCCCCCAGTGATATATAGGCCGACTGGTGGAAGAAGGCAAACGCAGGATCTCGGGCAAGCAGCCAGCAGAATCCGCTGCAGCTGTGGCATTGTGAAGTCATCGTCCTTAACAACCGCTGCAAACAGAATAATAACAAAGTCTGGGCTGTTGGCACCGCCAAGGGCTAAAGGAGGAACGCTGCTGCCGCCGTTCCGATTGCAGAACCAGCCAGCCGCCGGTGGTCTTCTTCGAGGCTCTCCTTTCCTCTTTCCCTTAGCCAGGCGCAGCGCTTTGCAAATTCCTTGGCTGGGTCCTTTTTCTTTCCTTTCCCCTCCCTCCCCTGAAATCTTCTCCTTGAAGAAAAAGCCTCTTCTGGAAAATCCGCTCCCTTCTATATCCCACTGATGGCGGTTTTTATTCATATGCCTTTGAGAAGTATTTTAGTTTATTTGTTTTCCGTGGGGGAAGTTGGGTTTGTCACGGCACTGGATGCCTCTCCCAGTTGGACACGGCTGCATTGTCAATTTAACAGATTTCCCCAAACTTGAAAGGACCCAATCCCTCCCCCCACCCTCAACTTCCACCCCTCAAGCTGGTACAAGTTTCTGCTGAAATATAATTAAATAGATCGTATCTCCTCTTGGACTGGACACGGTGCTGGGAGATTTGACAGCGGCTTCATTTTGGCAGTGAGCTGAGCTGGTTGGCCACTGTTTTTTTTTTCTCCCTGCAGTATATGGAGTTAAGATTTACGAACCGTTTAAAACACCTCCTTTCCAAGGTGAGGCTTTGCAGCCTGGATGGGCTTGAACTGGCTGGATGTGTTTGAGGCCTCCCTTGTGCTCAAAAGTGGACTTTTTGTAGGATGGGGACAGAAGAAGAAGAAGAAAAACCTCTGTATTTGCAGCATCAAGTACAAGGTTCAGGCTTTAAAGTCTTGAGTGAGCTCTTCCTGCTGACTTTTTAGTTACCTCTCTTTGCAAACATAACGGTGTCTCGTTCGACACTCTGCAGGGACTAAGGGAGGCCTGCCATTTTAGGATGCATCCCATTTTGAGTTTTAACCCCAGACCCAATTTTCTCTTGTTCCTCGTTCCCCGTTTTCTAGCGAAGGGGGAAAAGTGGCTTCCTTTATTCATCCAAATGAAGCGGTGGAAGAGGCTGCAAATTGAATCCTGTGGCCGTAATATCGGCCGGCCTTTGACGGACCCGTGTCCTTTTTTTAAACGCAGGGTTTTGTTTTGTTTTTTAAATGTCCTTTTTCCCTTTCAGGTCCCGTCCGATCCTCCTCTCCCCAAGAAACCCAAAACAGACGATGCCCTGCAGTCTCCCTTACTTGGGGATAAAGAGAAGCAGTCCAGCTGGTTACGATCCTTGTCAAATTCATCCATTAAGGTGAGTTTGGGGAAAGCTGTCAGGTTTTAAAGGCTGGAGGGTGTAACACCAAAAAACAACCACCCCAAATTTTTCTTTGTCTGACCGGGTTGAGTGGACGGGAGTCCAGGATGGCCCTCAGTCTGGCTAATTTTGCGTTGGCTTCATGCATGGGAGTATGGTGTTGGTCCAGCAGTCTCTGCACACCCTGGCTTCTTTGCAGGACGCAATACTCATAATTACACACTTAACTCAGAGATTCAGAAGCCCAGATCTACAAAACTCGATCCTTTTCCAGTCTTCCTCCAGCCAGGCCATTCACTATATCTTTATTTTATCCATTTGTATCTTACTGTTTTTTTCCTCTTCTCTCTTTTTATTTTTTTAAAAAAATCAGAATATTGGGTGTCTCCATCCCCGGCAGCGTCTTTCTGCATTCCGGCCCTGGTCCCCCGCCATTTCAGCCAGCGAGAAGGACGTCTCCAACCACGTCCCTACGTTGATTAGAGACAGGTAAGGAGAAGCGGAGGAGTTTCCCAGGACGAAATTTCAAGGCCGCTAAATTTGAAATGAGGGCCAGGTGCGTTTCCCAAAAGTATCCGACAGGGAGCATCAACACCACAAGATCTTAATAGCTGGACACGAATAAGACATGGACAGACAGAACCGGGGTATAAAATCAAGTTCTTTGGAGCGAAGGGAAGGAAGGGCGGTTGAGCTGGAGAAGTTGATGGGTCGGATGAATGAATGGTGCCTTTGGCCTGTGGTCACTTGAAGCTCTGCCCTAGCTTGCTTTTCAATTGAACAGCTGATTGATAGTTCCTTGATTTGCATATGCTTACCCAAGGACATAAGAACATCCTCGACTTACAACAGTTCAATTTAGTGACCATTGGAAGTTGTAACAGCACTGAAAGAAGTGACTTGTGACCAGTTTTCACACTTAAAACCATTGCAACGTCCTCATGGTCACGTGATTGCCTGGCTATGGACTCATAATTATGACGATTGCTGCGGTGTGGGTGGGTGGGTCCCCTTTAACAACCCCCTTGCTCATTTAACGACTGCAGGGATTTCAGTCAGGAAATGGGGCAAAATCCACTTAACGACTATTAGCAGCAGAGATTTTGGGGCTCGATTCTAGTTTGCAAGTCAAGAACTACCTGTGTAATTACCTAAATTTTAAAAAAACAAAAAATAGCTCAGTTGCTTTGCCTCTTTAAAATTTTGGAGCAGCAAAAAATAAGACTTTTTAAGTTTGCCCAGTGAAGAAGTCAACTTTTCAAAGCTGGCAATTAAAAGCCTTTAGATGATTCATTGCGTTAATGAGCGATGGCACGGAAACCTTCCCAAGGAGTGCTCTCCTCCCAACTTTTCTCTCCGAGGGAGCGGGTGAGTCACAACCGCCCCCCAAAATAGCTTTGTGGGGGCTGCGAGGTAACCCAGCGCTCTCTCTCTCTCCTCGCCAGTTTCTACTCATATAAAAGTTTTGAGAACTCCGTCGCACCCAACGTGGCGCTGGCCCCGCCTCCTCAGCCAAAGATCGTGAGCAACCCGCTGTGCCCTCCAGCGGCCTTGAGGAACGGTGAGACCCTCAGCAGCCCTCCCCAGCTCCGGAAAAGGAAACACGTCGCCGAACACCCAGCCGTGCCCGAACCGCCGCCCGTCGCTGCTGTGCCCACCACCGCTGCTCCCGCCCCTGCCACGGAAGAAGAGAAGGAATCCGAAGCCGAGATAGAAGTGGAAACGCGAGAAGAATGTAAGTGGGACTTTTTCGGGGAAGGAAAATCCTCCCCCCCCCTTTGGCTCAGAAAAATGGATTTGGGGGTCAAATCATTGTCAATAGAATTCTTTATTGACGATTATTTTGACCACCAAATCCATTTGTCAGCACCAGGAAAATCAGGGGATCCGGGCAGTTCAAATGTGAATTAAAAAAATATTGTAAGCTTGAGCTCTCTACAAGAATCTGAACTACTAACAGTCAAGGGAAAGTAGCGGGAGATAAGCATAAGAAGGAATTCAAGGTGGGCTGGGCTTTGATCTCTTGTGGGAGTGCAGGGACTCATGTCTGATGGTCTGCTTGACTCCTCCCTCCCTCGGGCTCAGCCTGGTTGTCTCCTACAATAGTTTCATGTTAAAGTCATCCGTCCAATAGGTTGAACTTTTTCTTTTTTAAAAAAAGCAAACTGCCTTTGGAAGGAAATCAGATCCTGTCTGGAGGCCCCACCAGTTCTTCAGAAGGTAGCCCAGACAGAGAACAGGACTTCCCTTGAGTGGTTGTTCAGTGCCACAATTCTGCAAGGTGAAAAGAATGCTGCTCTTAGCTTCACACAATCAAAATATGCCCTGTTCCAGGGACAGAAGTGCAGGGCACGCTCCCCACCAACCCTGTGTTTCTTTGCGCGTGCAACAGGGCTTGACTTAATAACCCCACAATCCCCACACGTTGCCTGGGGTGTGTGTGCAAGTGGCCCGATTGCCACCACTTATTTCTTCCTTCTCTCCACAGTCACCTCCTCCCTGTCCTCGCTCTCCTCTCCGTCCTTCACCTCTTCGAGTTCAGCCAAGGATATGAATTCTCCCAGCCTGCAAGTCCAGCCCGCCGCCGGCAACGCCGTCTTTGAAGGGTCAAGTCATGCCGAGCCTCAGAACGGACCCAACGGGCTGGAGGCCGAGCTGGAGCATCTGAGGCAGGCGTTGGATGGCGGCCTGGACACGAAAGAAGCCAAAGAGAAATTCCTCCACGAGGTGGTGAAGATGAGGGTCAAGCAGGAGGAGAAACTCAACGCCGCCTTGCAGGCCAAGCGCAGTCTCCACCAGGTAATGGGGTGCTACCCCGTTGGCCGAGGACATTTAAGGGACCCCGTGGCACTAGATTTGAGTAGAGTCTCTGGGGGGGGGG